CCCTTACAATGTCATTCAATTTGTTTTTATTTGTTTGCTCCTCCTATCTTACTATCTTTGTGAATTTCTCTCCCCCTTTGTCAACGATTAACACAAAAGGCGAGCTCAAATTATAGATAGGTTGAGGTGAAATCATGTGAAATGAGGATCATTTTTCCAATTTGGTTCAATGTCTACTGTTCTTTTCTCCAAAACTTTTGTTGAAAGGATCACTGCTATCATTCGGAGGGGCTTTGGTGGGCTGGAATTCAGGATGATAACTCTACCAATCCTATTGCCTTCCGCTCCTGGGGTGATGTATGTCAACCCAAAGAAAATGGGGGTCTTGGAATCAGTGACCTTTTCATTGTCAACAAGAGTCTGATCACCCCCGCTGCCTAGAACATTGCCACCAATAAAAATCCCTTTCTCACCAGCATCTTAAAACCCAAATATTCCCACTCCAACTCATTTTGGATGGCCAGAGCTGATGGGCCTCGCTTTATCTTCTGGTCTTCTATCCTCCAGATTAAAAATGACCTTGTCCAGAATGTGATCTATCAAATTCATAATGGCAACACCTCTATTTGGTCATCTCCTTGGTGTCAAATCTGGAATACCATCCATGACCACCTGCTCTTGCCTGTCACCCACTCTCATCTTCCGAGTGTGGTTTCTGATCTATGGATCCCTAATAGTCATATTTGGAACATCTTTGATCCTCAAGCCGTTCAAATTATTTCCCAAGTTGTGACGGTGGACAGCCAGCACCAGGACATCCTTCCATGGACTCCGGCAAGAAAAGGAGACTGCAGTACTAAAAATATTCACAGATTTTTATGTTCATAGGATCAGGTTCAACTTCCACACAGGATCAAGGAGCCTACAACAACAGGCTAACCAGATCCTTCGACGGATGTGGAAACTGAAAACCTTCCTCCACTTATCAAGACTTTCACCTGGAGACTTATTCGGAGAGCTCTTGCCACCGGATGCCGAGCTGCAAGATATTCAACCCATATCGATGAGCATTGCAGTGTCTGCGGACTAACTGAAACTGATGCACATTTATTTTTTCACTGTGATTTTGCCCGTGCAGTTTGGTTCTCAGCCACTCCGCCTCTACGCGCTGACACTCTACCAAATGAGGAGGATGGTGTACAGGTTATTCTTTTGGTGCTTATTACTGATTCAACTGAAAACTCCTTAATGCAAAAAATACTGCTAACTATGTGGTATCTATGGAAAACCCGAAACGATCAAAGATTTGGCAGGAAAACATGGAATACTTGGCAGGTACACCATGCTGTGGCGGCATTTATCAACACTGCAAACTCAGCAATCTCCACACACGATGAACAGGACAATCCAACACAGGAAGCAATACACAACTCTGAAAAGCTGTAACCTCAAGCATCAACGCTTCCATTCCAAGCATCAACAATGGAATGGCAGGGCTATTGTCAGGAGTAAGGTGCTACACCGATGTATCACTAACACCTGATCTTCAATCACTCTAGCCCAGACCTGCAGGTATTGATCTCTTTATTATTAATACTCAGGTTCAACCTACACAAACCATCTACATCAAGACGAAGATGACAGAGGCTACATCTGTGCTGATGGCCGAAGCTGCTGCAATTGCCCTTGCTGCAATTGTCACTGATCGGCTAAATCTACAGCAAATACATTTCCTCTTAGATAACCAACAGCTTGTGCAATTCCTTAATGCCGTGGACCAAGGAAACCCACCAGATTGGAGGATCAAGCACTTTACTCAAGTGTTCACTAATCACACAAGGCATGGAGACAAAAGGGGATTCTCAAGGTGCATAGATCCCAGAACCAAACGGCTGACAACTTAGCTAGGCAGGCACTATCACAATCTCAGCCAACTTCTCTTGCATTGACTTGTACCTGCTCTAATAGAGCATATGTAACTCAGTCCCAATTTTTTACTATTTGGTCATTTTTCGAAGAAAATTTACGTTTGCCCCCTGGGAGACGTAAACTCATCTTTGGACTCTGGGAGTCGGCGCCATTGCCTCTGCCTAATGGTGTTCCAGTGCCCATGTGCTGGTGCGGTGATCCTTGCAAGGTAGCCAAGTCCGATGGAGATGACACGTATAGGCAGAGGTATTGGATGTGTGCCAATTTTGCGTTTGAGCCTACACTTTGTCAGCGCCGCATTAACAAGATGGTGAGAAATTGATGTTATGTAACAATTATTTTGTGTCAAATGAAGTCTTGTATAATTTATTTGTTTTGCAACAATTGCATTTGTTGCAGACCCCTCCACCGCTCTGTGATTTTGAGCAGTGGATCGACACTGAGATCAAGCCGGAAGATAAGGAGTGGATGCAGAACTGTTACGGTGGGAGGCAGAGGACAAGGAGATGATGGAGAAGAAACGCAAAGAGGAGGCTCTTGAAAAGGAGCACAAGGAAGAGGAGGAAAGGAGGCATGTTGCTGCGTACAGAGAGGAGAGAGAGAGGAAGCTTGAGCGTGCGCTCCGAGCGAAGGCAACGATGGAGGAGAATTCCGATGCCCAGAGGAAGGGAAAGTGTCCTCGTTGCACTCAGTAGTCTTCATGACTTGCTAGTTCTATGGTTTATTCATGAACAATGTTGTTTATTCTTGGATTTTGCATTGTGTTGTCATATAATGCACTTTAAGTATGGACGTACCTAAGGCATGTTCTACGTTATTTAGTTTATCATCATGTACTTCAAATGTTGTTATGTTGATTAATGTGCTCTATTATTGGACCTTTCATAGTATTGTTGGTTTCATTATTTGTTGTCATAATATTGAGTTTAATATTGCATAGGTAGTGAAACGAGCTTACGTAGTGCAAATAAAACGTAACGAAGTAGTAGATTATCTAATTTAACACACACAACATATGAAATGGCATATGATAACATGTACCAAACTAGGGTACAGAGGTCCTAGACTAAATCTAACATGTCTTAGGTAATTGAAGCAAACAACAAGCACATGAAATGGCATGTGAGAATATGTACCAAACAAGGGTACACAGTTCCTTCGACTAACCCTAACATATCTTAGGTGATTAAACAAAAAAAAACAAACACATAGATATGACCCGTTAAAAAGATTGGTTTGTCCTAATAGTGTGGCCACATAGCAAATTATGTTGCACCTTCTCCACAGTATCCTCCTATTGTTGGTCCCCAAAGCGCACGTGCACGTCCGGGACCCAGCTGAGGCTGTGACTAGCCATTCAAGGCCCGGTGTGGATGTCGAGATGTGCAAAAGGCCCCAACCTAGTGCACCAACTGTCGGTGTTTCGAGTTACCACCGACGAGTAAATTTCTAGTATTGTGCGTTTGGCTCGGATGATGTGCTTAGAGGACACGAGGTTTATACTGGTTCGGGCAGAATGTCCCTACGTCCAGCTTATCGCTGCTGCTCGTGTTACTAGCACTGAAAGTTTACAGTAGGGGTTACAAACAGACGAGAGAGAAAAATGATCCCAAGTCTCTGGTGGAAAGAATGAACGGGTGTCGAAAGCTCGATCGTTGATCAGCCATGTGTTCGTGTGTTTGTTATCTCATGGTTCGGCTTGATCGGTCCTCGATGGGTCGATCCGATGGGTTCGTGATAGTTCAATTGTTCGATCTCCCTAATAGGGCGTCCTGCTTTCTCTTTTATAGGCCAAGGGAAAGCATGTGTTACAGCGGAGGAAAGGAGAAGAACGAGAAGGAGAAGTCCTTCATGATCGTCGGGTCCTTCTTCTCATTCAAGCGGGTCCCGTCGCCCCTGTATATGTCAACAGGGATAGATCCATGTCGTGGCCCCTGTCCGTCACTAGCGCCATGCGCAGACGTCGTCTGCCTGTCATGGCGCTCCACTCCGTTCTGGTGGACATTGGGGTGAACCGACGTGCCTATCAGTGTTCGTACGAGGGTTAGACAGAACAGTACCGGTACGCCCGACGTTGTTCTTGATGTGAATCCTCAGGTACGACCCGTCGTGGCCGCGGGTTACATCGAGGCGTGCCAGTCTCTTTCCTGGTGTTAGAGTTTTGATCCAGGCCCATACGCCTAGACCTGGAGTGGTTGGCGGCGGTATAGGACCCCGTCAGGCGAGACGGAGCCCGCACCCGAGGGGTCAGACGATGCAGAGCGCAAACCCAAGGATTGGGCGAGGTGGAGCCCGCGGCCTCGGTGTCGGGCGAGGCGGAGCCCCCCAGAGGTCGGGCGAGGTGGAGCCCGCGACCTCGGTGTCGGACGAGGCGGAGCCCGCGGCCTCGGGGTCGGGTGAGGCGGAACCCGCGGCCTCAGGGTCGGGCGAGGCGGAGCCCGCCCCCAGAGGCTCCCCAGAGGTCGGTTGGAGCCGTAGTCGCGCTCTTGACTGCTTGGATGAATCAATGTTGATGGTCATTAGCTCCTCCTCTTCGGGTACCCTAGTATTGGTCCCCGACAAATAGATAGCTAATAGTTAGCACGCTCCAACTAATAAATATCTAATAGTTAGCTAGATAATATTAGATATGAGATATTAACCAGCTAACTATTAGTAGATAATGACATAGCTTTAGTAAAACTACTGTATCTTAGTAATCGTAGTAATTGGCCTAAGGTGATTTGCAGTAAGCCACTGTAACCATGATAAAAGAAACCTGGCGAACAAAAACATGTCTTAATTTTTTATTACCCAGAAAGAGCACATGAACATATAACTGGATAGAAGAGGTAGATGTTCTAATTGAGATCATAGCCTAAGGGCACGTTCGTTTTTGCAGGGAATGGAGTGCCGGAACTGATCCGGACCGAAACGTAGCTGTATTTTATACGGCCAACCATCACTGAGAAGCTTTCCGACCGGAAACAGACTAAACGAACGGGCCCTAAGGTGATTTGCAGTATCATGATGGAAATAGTTTAAATTTAAATAATTATGCTCACATATGTTTATAATTTAAATCATTATATACGATACGGAGTATATCTTTCTATTCCACCCCCAGTCCATTTTGTATTTTTTTTTTCAATCTATTCTTGATCTGTTACTGGCACGAGTACAATATTTCTTTTCTTTCATGTCAAGACAAGGCGCCGCTCGTAATTGGCCATTATTAATCCAGTCCCCTTCTTCTCCATTCCACTCGTCGTCCGGGATTTTTAACTTTTTGCTGACACTATTTCGTTTGCCACTTTTATATGCGCTCCTACATAATTACCATCGTAAACAGTGAATCTCCTATTTTTTATCATTTTTCTGACATGGCATGCCAGCGTGGCAGCCTGAGAAGGCCTACAGAGCATGCGAAATGACCTATTTACCCCCGTTGCTTCTCTCCCTCTACTCGCTGACGCGTGGGCCCCACACGTCAGCTTTGTCTTCAACCTCCAGCCATCACCACGCAGAGAGGGAAGGGGAACTCGTGACAGGCTGCAATGACGTACCAGTGGGCCGTGGGTACACCTCGGGGTCGAGCATCTTGGCGCCGGGCTCCGGCTGGTAGCTGAGGAAGAGGCAGTGTGGCGTGATCTTCTCAGTCTCGCGCGGTGAGAGCACGATGCTGTGCACCTTGAGCCCGGACACATCGAACACCTCGCTGACGACCTCGAGGTGGCCGGACCAGGGGCCAAGCACGAGCACGACGACATCGGCGTCCACCATGGCGTCGCGCCCCTTCACCACCACGACGCCGACGACGCTGTCCCGGCCACACGCGCGCTTCCACCGCCGATGACGACCTCGGTGCCCGCCGCGGCGAGGACGACCTTGGTGAAGAGGCCCGGGTGGACCTGCGCGGTGGTGTCCCGAGCTCCCTCGGCGACGCGACGGACGCGGAGGGGTGCGTGGGCAGCAGGACGGAGAGCGGTGAGGCGGGGGTGGGCCCGGGGTGCGTGGGCAGCAGGACGAAGAGCGTGTGGACGGGCGGAAGTCAGAAGCGTCGCCGCCCAGCAGAGGGCGCCGGGCGAGGCGACGGCAGCGCATGTGAAGGAGGCTCGCGAGCTCGGATAGGCCTTGGGTGGAGTCGCACACCGGTCGGCGCCAGAAGTCGCCGGATGGATGGAGGTTGAAGACAAAGCCGGCGTGGGGCCCACGCGTCAGCGAGTAGAGGGAAAGAAGCAACATGGGTAAATAGGTCATTTCACATGCTCTGTAGGCCTTCTCAGGCTCACTGCCACGTTGATGTGCTCAGCTGACGTGCCATGTCAATAAAAATAACAAAAACTTAGGAGGTTTACTTTTTTACGATGACAATGAAAGTAGCCAAACGAAGCGAAAGAGTGTCACCGTAACATCGCAAAAAGTTAAAATGCCCTTGCTCCTCTTCCGTCTCGCACAGCAGCGAGGCGAACTCGTCGTGGAAGCGAAATATAGAGACTTTTTCTGTGTGCCATTATAAAGATCATCGCAATCCTGTGTGGAAAAAATCAGCGGTCTTCTTCAGCGCCACTATTCAACTTTTCGGGTCCTCCATGCCACTTCCGTCGATTCGGGCTCTCTACTTGCCGTCAAACTACAGTGTGAAAAGGCGAAAATGCCCTTAAGTTCAAATATGTTATTAATTTTTTTGAGCATCTTAGCGACTTCAAATGAAAAACTCAAAACTAGAAAGTTGTAGATCGTCGAGATCTATAATTTTCATAAAAAATTATTTTCATTTAATTCTGCAAAAAAATATGATTTGATATGATTAATATATCTTAGAAAATCATCATATTTTTTTATGAATTAAATGAAAATAAATTTTATATGAAAATTATAGATCTCGACGAGATCTACAACTTTCTAGTTTTGAGTTTTTTCATTTGAAGTTGTTAAGATGCTCAAAAAAAATTAATAACATATTTGAACTGAAGGGCATTTTCGTCTTTTCACACCTGCAGTTTGACGGCGTTAGAGCCTGAACTGACGGAAGTGGCATAGAGGACCCGAAAAAATTGGAATAGTGACGCTGAAGACCGCTGAATTTTTTCAAAGACACACAAAAAAAATTACGATCTTTTATAATGACACAAAACACAGAAAAAGTCTCAAATATATAGCCCGGGCAGGCGGTCACCGATCCCAAGTCCCAACCCGACGCAACGCAACCCAACCCACCCCGTCCCGGTTGCTTGCGCCAACGCAGGCGCCCGCCCCGCCACGTCCCGCCGCGCGAGGTAACTAATGCCTGATGCTCCTCCTATCCCGACCCAGGCCCGATGCTTGCGCTTATTGATTTCTCCGGTGTTTGATTGATCCTGCGCGCCATAGGTATCGTGCCGTAGCTTCCCGCGGCTTCGAGGTGGGTTGGGATAGGTTTTGATCTCGGTTTTGTTTGCTCTGGGGTGGGGTGGTGGTGCCATGGCGAGGATGGGGCGGGAGGGGAGGCGGTTGTGGCCGTCATGTGCTTTTCTGTTTTGGCGCGCTTTGGGTTCGATTCTGATGGGGTTTTCGGCCATCGATCGCGTCTTGGTCCTGCACGCAATGCAGAGGGGGGTTACGGTTCCTTGTGTTCTTCCTCCCCGTGTCGGGACGCTGGTTGGTTACCGGCTTACCGCACAAGCGACGGGATGCTTCGGCCGTTGTTTCCTTTTGATTTGATCTCTGTGACCCTTCTAGGAATCGATTCCATGCCCGATTGGTCGCAATGTGCGGGAGGTTTTTTCTTGTGCTGTTTTCCCTCGCTGGCTGGTTGGATTCCGCCGCGAAAAGTCCTCCCCCTTGCGCACCTTTTTCCTCCTCCAGATATCTTTATTCGTCGTTTTCGTGGTTCCTTATGGGTGCTTGGATTCCCTTGTGTGGTTAAAAGGCCAATAAGCTGCAGTGTTTTCGTCCTCATATTTCTTTCCTTGTGACAGGGGAACATCACAAATTGTTTGGTATCTTCTTCGAAATGAATCATTGCTGATCGTGTTGTTTGTAGTGATTGTTTGTAAGGTGAAACATGTTATGTGTTTGGTGATGTTCTTACTAGCATTCAAATGACTCCAGATACATTAGTTGTTTATCAGTTGTTTTGTGTCTGATGGATTCTCCGGTATATACTTGGACTCTTATGTTTAGCGGAATGATAGTCAATCAAGTGTTCAGGATTCATGCTTGGGCACTTTGGGGTGAAAAATATCTTATTCGATTTGTTGTTAAACTGTGAAGTGACTCATCCTTAATGAAATGGATCATATCCCTTTTTCAGTATCTTTTCGTGTTATTTGCACTCTTAACTAGTTAGTTTAGTTTCAGTATTTGAGGCGTGGTCCTATTTGCTATTATCAAACAGGAAGCATAAGATAAGAGAAAAGTGTCTGTGGCTTCATTGTCAGATTTAAAACATCCATACTTGACTAACTGATTGTCAAGTTAGGTTGCCATATTCACATGGTTTCCCATTACACATTTAATTGTGGGATCTGTATGATTTCACATGACGCATTTATAACATCCATTGTACGTTTCATGGATGATTATTTAATTATTGTATCGTTATATCGTAATGGCCCATTTCTTAGGGCATTTTTACATTCATTTGGGCAAGTTGTTGTTGACATTTGGTGGTCGCCATTTATTGTGCTTATGCTCTATGGTTGAACGGTGTGCTTCATTATCTGACTTGTCTCTTTCACTAGGTTGTTGAGTCTAGATACCAGATGATGGACCTGTCCACGACTTCAGTGCTGGCAGCTAAGGCCTACAAGTACAAAGCAGAATCGCTTGTTAAGGAGTACCTTCTTGCAGATTCGTATGTTTCATACACTGCTGTACTTGGTGGGATCCTGATGTGCAAGATGGTACCATTTGCCTCCTCTTATCTGTTGACACTGACATTTTATGATCAGACTTCCTTCAAATTAATATATGCTCTCAGTCTCATGTTTGTATTTAAGTGGGAGCAAAGCATCGCTGTAAGTTTAGTAGTTGCTATAGGTAAACATAGAACTATGGAGGAGATTAGAAGTAAACAAAACTTATAGATGGAAGGAAATTAGATCATCGGTGTATCTGAGATTGGTTCAAAGTTGAAATTATTTGTGATTTTGACTATGATTGTAGATACCAATTGTGGTAAATTTCAAATTACTGTTGTAAAATAGTTTCAACAGTTTGCTTGGACTTATAACATCTGGTTTATTATGAATTGTTGTGATTTAGCTGAATTCATGGTAAGTTAATATTAATGAACACCTTTGAAGATAAGTACGTTTTGTGTTTACATAAATTAACATGAATTGATCTTATTAATTACCCCATTTTAACAAAACTGTCTGGCAGAATGGTAGCTAAAACTTTTTTTTTTTCTTGAATACACAGCTTATCATTGCATTAAGAACAAGAAATGTGAGGACAAAACACAAACAACGCCCACCACACCGCTTTTGAGATATTTGTGACTCATTTGTTTAATCTCTGTTAGTTCATTTATTAGGCCCAGTGTCACTTTAGTATTTTTTAGATAACTCAGCTGACTTCAGGGTGCCTTAGAAAATTAGCTGGATTGAATCATTAAATGTTTCTGAAAAAGTGCTTGAAGTATTGCTAACTTGGACAACATTCGGTGTAGTTATCCTTAGCAAATTAGCAAGTGTGCTGCGATATCAGTAGGTAACAACACACAAACAATAATTTTGTCTGTTACTGTGCCAGCCTTAAAACTGTTGCATGGATTTGTTGTGATTAATTCCTACGTGCCAGGAGTCCAGAACTCTAGTTAGTTCTGTTTTGAATAAGTTCTACCCAAGGCTAACTTTATGTTTTGTTTTCTCAGGCTTATGACATAACAAGTATAATCAGCTTATTGTACTACAAGGGTTATGGTTCACTTACAAAAACCCAAAAGCTTGAGTGGAACAACAGGTTAAACAGTCTAGTTGCAAAATCTATGCCCAATTTCGCGTTACTTCTATCAGAATTTATGTTCAACATCCACTGTTTACTTGTTCAGGGGCATGTCCACTATCCATGCGATATTCATCACAGTCATGTCAGTGTACCTGGTATTCTTCTCCAACCTATTCTCTGATCAACTGGATGGACCAGTAACTTTTCGGAGTTCAAATCTATCCATTTTTACTCTGGGGGTAAAAGATGTTAATATTTCATTCCCATTCAAGAAAGTCTATGTTATCATTTAGTTTTGTCTCTTTTTGCCTCATATGAACTGAATTTTAATTTGTCCAGGTTTCTGTTGGGTATTTCATCGCTGACCTTGCTATGATATTCTGGGCTTATCCTTCTCTTGGTGGTATGGAGTATGTAAGTGAATATATCAGATCACTAACATATTTTTCATTTATATATCTCCTTGCTTTCAGTTTCTACCCCGTTTGTATATAAATACATGCTGATTTAACATGCCATAGTCTACTAAATCAACTTTGAGTACTAATACGCACCACCCTTGTGTGTTGGCAAAAACTATGAAAATATGGTATAATGAAAGTATCTGGTAAAACCTATTACTTTCATTTACTTAAGCTAGAGATATATGCTTTGTTGAATCATATTACTACAAGTTGACACATTTTGACTGCACCTTACTGTAACAACATACATTTTCAGGTCCTTCACCATATGCTGTCGCTTATTTCTGTAGTATTTGCTATGTATTCTGGGGAAGGACAGTTGTACACATACATGTGTCTCATCTCTGAAATAACCACACCTGGAATCAACCTCCGATGGTATCT